TGTGAAATGCGCCTAAGTCGATCACAATCCTTTAGCGGGACGTGTTGATACTGGTTTCTTTAAATGTTATTCCTATCATAAAACCTGGATCCTGCGATTTGTCACACGAGTATCAAACAGTCTACAGTGCGGATAAACAACTGGCGATAATCTTGCGTCAAGTGCCGATCTCCATATGTTCGTCTCAAAGTAAGTGTGGTATTTGCGATTTTTTTCCAGGAAGTAATGACAGCGTCGGACCTAGCTATAAGATTAAAAAAATGTGTAATAAGGCACTTTCACGATGAAAAATGGTAATATATTGCACTGACGACAGCACGAGGGTGTATGTTGCAACCACTTCAAGTACACGTATTCGCAGGAGAAGGTCATCAGATATATTATAAATGCTTACAAAGATAAAAGTAGTACGATATATTTTGTACCGGTAATCTTCTGTCAATGACCCTATACGGTTTTCTACAACTAGGTCTAGCTACAAATTTGTATTGTATCCGTCCGCTCGCTTCGCATTGTGCAGCTTTCGATTTTTGGCATTATATGTTGATAAAATGTACCATGTAACAATGAGCAAAGCATTACCAACTGCAATGAACTTTATCTGCTATTATAGTTTTTAGTACTACTATATGCTATCAAAAAATTCCATCAATATATTCACCTTCTGTAAATGTAATGTAACGGACAACCCCCGTCACACATTTTTCGCAATCGAATAAAGTGAGTTCCTTTCGGCCTCGTGGATGGACAGAGTTCGTTGTCACAATGAAAGCATTATGTACCTCAAAATTGTTTTCTGCTGACACAGTAGTAGTTATCGGTAGGCACAAGCCCTGACGATCATTGTCGATCTCCACACTCGGAAACCCACATGGCTGCTGAATCAGCAAACAAAAACCAACTTGAGCTGTCTAACGAGCACGGCACCCTCGGTCCCCGCCCCTGTGACTAACAACAATTACAGACTGATGAACATGTCTCTCTCCAAGAAATAGCAATCAAGTACATCCTGCTTTTCTAATCAGCAGTCTAAGTGCAACTTCGCTACACATAAGTACATCAACGGTTATGGTATCCTCGTCTGTGCAAACAAAATATCCATAACACATTTTGCGTTTACTTCTGATGCACTGTATCAGCAGTTGTGCAGTACCGTGTCTACTTTTATCTGTGACCATCATTGCATTTGCGCTAACAGCAGAAGCATCAATTTCAAACACCGGTCAATTGATGCGAAAAGCTTAAATCCATTGAAATGATGATAAGCACGGGTATGACCACTTCTCTCATGACTCTCAAAATCGATACTACAAGTAAAGAAATTGACTTATGTATTCAGTATGACGCGTCAATAGTACAACGCACGCCACGACGCCTGTATCAGTTCGCTGATTGTAACTAATCTAGGCCACATATATTTCAGCATATTGCCAATTTTACCGGGGAAAAACAATGTCGGCGCCTCAGCCAGCTTAAAATCGGCATTCATACCTAGCACCATTGTATGTACTTAAAATTTGGAGCAGGATGCACTAGCTTGGTCTGTAAGATGTCTTCCAGTTTTAAGTTTGTCATTGACTGACAGAAGTCATCTTTCTCCGACCTCAAAACAGAGAAGTCGCCTTGAACAGACCTGTTGTTGTCAAAAGAAACGGCTCGTCCGCCCAAGACGTCCCACAGGAACATAAACCGTTTGCTGAGTGGTATAGGCGTAATTAAATATGTCTTGAGGTCGTGACCATCCATTAGCGCCTTAGTAGTTGGCTTATGGTCTTGGGGCTTGGGTAAAGTGGAAAGTTTCGATTTTATCGAAGTCGTCAACATTCCAGTGCAATCGAAAGTGGCCACGGTACGAAACGAGCACGTCGAAAATGAATTCGACCGTCCGCAACGTCACGAGCTGCTGCCCTACGAAAGGTGGCTTGGTGTCCCCCGCATTGTTGTTGTCATCTCGCTAGGCCTGGATGGACGACCAACCATCAACCAGTTGCAAAGCGCATTGTGGAATCTCACGCAGTATATACGATCGATCGTCGGAGGAGAATGTGTTTGACAAATCTCGTGCTTACATTCCGTACTCAGAAACGCATTCTCGAACGCTCCGCGGCCGAATCAAGCATTTTACCCCTAGCCTGGAATTGGGTGTCCAATAATTATTTTGCACGCTTCGCTGACCTAAATCGATTCGATGTTCATGATCACTATCAAGTTAACGATCAATTTCATAATTTCGTTCATCTGCTACCGAGGATCATTTTGCGAGATTAAGGCATAGTCGTGCCGCAGACTCCTGTCAACGACTGCACTGAAGTTGCGGAGATAGGCATCTTTTCATGGACCCACGACTCAAGACAAATTATCACAGAATATAGGATTTACTCGAAATACGCCCAGAGATTCGTACACTCTTGAACTGGACCTGAATCTCCAAGATAAGGGGTTTCTGCGGCTGCAAACGCACAGAAAAGGCGTGGGCGGTCTTGTAGAACGCGCCATTTTGTCTAGTTCGTTCGTAACAGCCCGAATCACGATATCTTCCTGGTGAGGTGCGCACCAGATTTGTATTATTTGTACATTGCAATTCGGTTCAGACGATTTATCCACGACCACATCACCACCCAGTGTCGTCATTTTTTCGTCGGTAGTAACCGCTATCACCTTTTCCTGCCACGACTTAAACCCATTGTGCAGCAACGTCTTTATGAGATTCGACGTTTTCTCGGAGGTATGACGATAAAAAACCGCACAACGACCAGATGTAGGTTCATATAAATTCTCCGTTTACACAATTTAGAATGCGGAAATCGAAGAACTGGATTGGGTTATGTGTTGAACCGTCGCAGGCCAAGGCAAGCGACCAAACAGTCGTGTTGCTCAGAATCGATTTCATCTGCGGTAGGTTGTTGCAAACAATCATACGCACGAATCGACCAACTTTGTGGTTTTGCAGACCAGAGAGTCTTGGGTTCTTTTACGCATCTCGTTCTTATTTGACGACGGCGACCGTCTGGCGGAAAGATAAGACGACCGACGTGTGCTCAAGCACCAGGTTGAACCAGTTCGATTCTCAATTTAGAACAGATACGATCCTTACAACTATTCACCGAACAATGCGATCGCGCTTGACTTGGTGATCAGTTCGCCTTCTTTCTCCTCTTCATTCACAATTGTAATGAATAGACAACATGTAATTTTCTCCACGATTGTCACGTCAATTCTGAGTTTAAGACGCGTACTCGTCTTGTCGAAGTATCCATCCTTCGTGGTCATCGACTTGCGTCCGAAATATAGCTTTTTGTCGGAACTGGGCAGGACTTGGTACTCCTGCTATGCAGAAGCGTACTGTCCATTTTATGACATTCGCTTGCTGCTCTTAAAAAATTCCGCTTTCAACTTTGACTTAATAATTGATGCGTTGTCCTGCTGAACGATGTAGCCGGTACCGTAGTGCAAATGTGCAAATGGAAGCACGAACTTGAATAGCGAGTATGTATAATGTTCAGATGCTTGCTTTCCAGTGATCATTGCTATCTCAGTCTTTCCCTTCTCACTGAATGTGTACCAAACTATAACCAATCCACCACTGTTTTGTCTACAGATAGTCTCACGAGGTGGGAAGCGCAGTCACGCAGTAGATCTTGAAACCATCAGAAGCTGTCGAAATTACACTTTTTTCATCCGAGAAAATAACTGCGTCCTAATCCGCTGCCATCATCACGTGGCTCTTGGCCCAAAGCTGTCTCGATTGGTTTTGCTCGCACGTGAGAGGTAGGGTGCAGTTCATTTTAGTGTATACTCGCCAGTATACACCAAGGTGGATGCGGCGGACGGCTCGCGCGGAGCACTCGAGCTCAACTTGTCAGCCAACTAGATGGAAGTGTAACTTCCCGTCGCTGTCCCCGTACGACGCGCCGCAGGTCGATGACGTAATAAGATTGGGACGGCTTGTCGTGCTCTTTATTGCCGAAGCTGCAATTCAGCTCGCACACACGTGCGCGAGCGCTTCAGGCGTCTCATTGTATCGATAATCTAGTGCCTGTCCTCACACAAACTGTGGATTCTTCCTCGCACTTCATTCGACAGCTATTGTCCTTTTCCCATTATTTGAAGAATAACATCTAAAAATTGCCAATTCTCTCATATTCAATATTTCAATAGTAGGGATAGAGGTGGCTTATCTTTCGGCTACGTCCATTCTCCGACAAACTGTATGGGAGACCCCGTACAAGCTGATAAAATCGGGTCAAATACACGTGCACCCCAATAAACACACTTGCTGATCTGTTATATTTAAATAGCAGCTCTCAATTCGTAATACTCGCTGAGATGTTTAGGAAACGTGGGGTGTACTATACTCTTGGCCTGGAGTGTACACTCTAGGTCATAATGACACGGCCACCCACATTGGTGCTCATAACTCCATAACTTATGCGAGTTAGACGCTTTGATTTGAGTGCGACATGCGCAAAGCCTTATAATACCCCTCCGCAGTTTCAAGAATACGATAATATGAATCGATCCCATAGCTCACATGCTAAAAAAAGCTTTTTGTGCCCAGCAAAAGTATACGACCAAAAAGCATACAAACTATAAGTAAAAATGTGAATGGTTTCTGCATTGCTATTTCGCGATGAGGATTTGAAATGTTTATCAGATTAGTACTGTGTCTTGTTTCCCTGCATTCTGAGGACTTCGATGCAACAGTGCGGAATGGAATCGATCAAGGTCACCAATGTTCCTTGCTGTATGTTCTTCCACGGTTTGATGACTTCCGACGTTAGAGCTGATGCAGAATCTGTTAGAAAACGGCATTGTTACCCGTAACGGTTGAGGTAAAGGTTGTAGCAACGGTTGAAGTAACGGCTGACGACTTGAAGAGGTGTAGGAAGATTAGTGATTGAGTGGACAGCATAGTGGATGGTTGATTGATTGGATAGAAGTGATGGAGAACAAGAACAACTAGTCCTTCATCGTAGCAAGAAACGATAACACCAAAAACAATGACAGAATCCTTTTACCACAGCGCTGCAGACTTCCTCTCATCGACTACTATGAGCGAACAGGTTATGAGCCCAAACGGGTCGTCTGACGACAACTACACGGCACAGGCACCGCCGACTAACAGTCACGCAAGGGCTGCGTCGGAGCCTGCCGTGGTCGTACCATCGCACGCTCACGCAAGGAGCGCGGACAACGATGCGCTGGAGAAGGTTCTCAAGTTGCTGAGCGGCATGGACGAGCGCGTTAAGAAGATGGAGCCGTCCCAGGCAAGGATTGACCAAGACGAGCGCATGCGTGGAGCGGTGGACAGCGGAATGTTTACCTCAATGATTGGCGCGGACTTCGCGGGCAAGCTTCACCGTGACGCGCTTGACTGCACGGACTTGACAAGCCACCAAGCGCGCTTGTGTGTCGATCGTCAGCGTGCGCAGCGCGCACAGCAGCCACCTGTCCAGATACCAGCGTATCAGCCTTCGCCTATGCCACATCGACAGGAGTCACCAGCTGCGCCGATGTAATCCCCTTTGCCAACTCAGTTTCGGACGCCCGACGCGAGGCAGCGCAAGCTCGCGATACGGAAGTTTGACGGGACCGAAGTGTACGTCGGACTCGGGTCCGGTTTCTTCGACTGGGGCAAGACTTTCTGGAGGCAAGTAGACATGGCTTAGGAGTCGTGCGGATTCCTGTGGACCGAGAACGTCAAGACTGATGTTCTTGGCCAGTACCTGACTGGCACAGCAGAGCGCTACTTCAGCAAGCAGGTCGACACGTGGTGGGCCGTGCTACCGACTCTCCAGTACGTGATGCAGCGCATGCTTGATACATTCAAGACGACAATCACCGCAGCCCAAGCAATGAAGCTGTTTACGACAAGGAAGGAAGGCAAGCGCTCGTGGCCGGAGCACTACCTGTACCTAGTCGCAGTCAGCGATGCGGCTGGTGGCGCTGAGCAGCAGGTGCTTGATAATATCGTGCGGTATGCATCGCCCGAGCTGTCGACGATTCTGATGGCCAAGTACGAGACGCATCGTGTCGACTACCTAGTGCACGCCGAAGAGCTCGCACATTTCGCGCAGGCAATCGAGATGGAAGCTCGACCGGGACGCTTCTTTGGAAAGGAGGTTGTCGCCCACGTGGATGAGTCCACACCGCGAAAGGAAACGCGTACCTGCTATGGATGTGGCAAGATGGGACATGTTAAAGCCGACTGTCGTAGCAGGAGGACTAGCGACAAGAACAGCAGCCGTCGCGGTAAGAGCGGTGGCAACATTGTACTTGCGATTGGCGAAGGCATCAGCAAGAAGGGCAAGCGTCATGCTAAGTGTAATTTGACACTGGCAATTAGCAATGACAGTGACGAAGAAAGCGACGACTGGATTCTGGACAGTGGATCCAGTCGCCACCTCGTCAACAACGCGTCTCTACTACAAGGTGTGCGAGACTGCGAACACGAGTGCCACCTAGCCGATGGCGAGGTTATCAAGCTGTCGCGCGTCGGTAGCGTTGTACTGACTGTGAAAGCAGAAGGACATGAGCGAGATGTGACTCTGACGGAGGTCTACCTCGCACCGGATCTATCAAGAAATATCATGTCGTACGGCAAGCTTGAGCGCAAGGGTTTTGGACTTGTCTACGACGGTACGAAGCGCACACTTGCGAGACGCAGCAATGGAGAAGTCGTGTTCGACATAAAAATGGAAAACAACGTACTATACGTTGACACAGTGGCACCGACACGCGCAGGGACACCACGCGATGTGCTGATGGCGATCCTAACTCAAGATTCGACGGATGTATCAGCCATGGATGTCCAGATTGCCTCACTCTACCATTTTCACCAGCGTCTGGGTCACTTGGCGTACGACACGGTCGAGCGCATGGCAAGCGATCCAGAGTCCGGCATAACACTCACAGATTGTGCGAGGCCGACGTGCATTTCGTGCGCCCAAGGCAAGCAGACGAAGAACGCACAGTCGCGTAAGGACACGGGTGCTAACTCACCTATTGACCGCATTGGTGGCGTCATCTGTTCCGACCTCAAGGGTCCGATGACCCCCAAGGACCGGCTCGGAAACCGGTACCTCGTCAAATTTGTGGACCATAAGTCCAATTACTGTCGCGTCTTCCTCGCTCCAACGAAGGACAAGGCTGCGAAGAATTTCGAACACTTCTTGGCATTCTTCGAGCGCCAGTTTGAGTGCCACATCCACGTGCTAAGGACGGACGGAGGTGCCGAGTACGCGAATGTCGACCTCTTCTGTAAGTCGACTGGTGTCGCAAGACAGGTCAGCGAGGCACGCAACCAGGCATCGAACGGCAAAGCCGAGCGCATGCACCGAACGGTGTTAAACATGGCGCGGTCGATGATCTTTGCGAGTCGACTTCCCGTGTCATTCTGGGGTGACGCGGTCGAATATGCGGCGTACATTCTCAACCGCAGCCCGACAAGTGCGAACGCGAAGCGAGCGTCACCATTGGAAGTGCTGACAAAGCACGCGCCTGACTTGCGAGACATAGTAGCATTTGGCTCTGTTTGCTCTGTCTACCGCGATCCACGCAAGAACTCTCTGGCAAGGCGATCGCAAGTCGGCATCATCATCGGACGCAGCGATGAAACCAAGGGCTACAGAGTGTTCCTTCAGAAGGAATACAAGGTTACAGTCACGCAGCACGTGAAGGATATTGAGACGCTCAGCGAGGCACAGAACAATCAGTTACAGAGGGCGCTCGACTACGAGGATCAAGCAGGTGCGACATCAACAGAAACAGCGACGGCGACCCTGATGTCGGCAGACCCAGCTCCGACATTGAAGATACGCAGAGGGAAGAAAAATTCGAAGTCATGGACGCGTGCAGCACACAGGACGCGCAGCGCGGCGAAGCGTTCGCAGGCATCTCGGGTTCAGGAGGAGCCATCACGAGACGAAAGTGTGGTGGCTCACGTATTTGAGCGAGACCCCAACAATTATGGTGAAGCGATACGCAGCAGCAAACGCGAAGGCTGGGAGAAAGCTATGCGTGAAGAGCTCGAAGCGCTCGAAGACAACGGCGTGTGGCGCTTGATCAAGCGGCCATCCGGGAGCAACACACTACACACCAAGTGGGTATTCAAGACGAAGACCGACGCGCACGGCGACCTCGAGCGACTCAAGGCTCGACTTGTCGCGTGTGGAAACGAGCAGGTCTTTGGTATCGACTACCAGCTCACCTTCGCGGCAGTCATGGACATGTCTACGGTGAAGGTGCTTTTGGCTCTGGCGGCGACGTGGGGCGTACCCGCTAAACACGGTGACATACCGAATGCGTATGTGAAGGCGGACAAGGAGCCTAACCTCGAGATACTGCTACAGGTTTCGCAAGTCATGGAAGTCGACGACGCGACACTGAAGAAGCTAGGTGCGGCAAGTACGAAGGAGCTGGCACTCGAGCTTCGAAAGACTTTATACGGCCTCAAGCAAGCCGGACGACTCTGGAGCCAGCTCCTGCATGCGAAGCTATGCAGCGCAGGATTTACACAGTGTGTGGCAGACATGTGTCTCTACTGGAAGCGTGACGGCAAGGATACCGTCGTGGTTGGCGTCTACGTCGACGACCTGCTTGCAACTGGCACCGGAGCAGCTGCGGTAGATCGGTTTTTTGCCAGTCTCGCGAGCCTGTCAATCAAGGACCTTGGCCGTGTGAGTAAGTTTCTCGGTATGAGAGTGGCGCTCGATGGCGAAGGCGGCTACGTACTGGATCAGGAGGAGGCGATCAGCGACTTGCTGCAAGAACATGGCCTCACAAACGCAAACTCGACACTTGCACCGATCGGTGCCGACTGCTATGAAGTGCAGCCGATCGACAGCGTGCAACTTGAGGCCACGAGCACAAATGGAGCACCTACAATTAGAAACTTTCAGTCGCTCGTCGGATCTCTGCTTTGGGTCGCGCGTTGTACGAGGCCCGACATTGCGTTCGCCGTTCACAAGACGACGCGACAGACGCACCAACCGCGGCTTCACGATTGGAAGCTCGCGAAGCGTGTGGCTCGCTACCTTAAGGGGACGAAGACGATGAAGATTAACATGAAGCCAAGAGATGTCAGGTGCGCGTCAACCAAGCTCGAGTCATTTAGCGACGCCGACTTTGCCGCAGATAAGAGCGACAGGAAGTCGTTGACCGGAGGCATCGTCCTCCTCAACGGCATGGCGATCAGCTGGAGCGCCAAGAAACAAGGTGGAGTGTCCCTCTCGACAATGGAAGCCGAGTTTGTGGCGGCGTCAGAGATCGCTCGTGAGCTGCTGGGCGTGCGCGAGATGCTTATCGAGATTGGAATGGCACCAGAGCTACCGATGTTGATGCACGTCGACAATCAAGCGGCAATTCGACAGCTCGAGGGTGAGGCGTCATCACTCAAGGCAAAGCACATTGACGTGCGAGTCAAGTTTGTCTGCGACTTTGCTCGGCGCGGGATCGTGCGTGCGCAGTATGTGAGATCGGAGCTAATGCTCGCTGATCTGCTCACGAAGGCACTTGACCCACACAAGCTGGCGACGATGCGCACTTTGGTGCACCTCGGTTTGAACGGTAAGTCGTAGCCGAGGAGGAGTGTTAGAAAACGGCATTGTTACCCGTAACGGTTGAGGTAAAGGTTGTAGCAACGGTCGAAGTAATGGCTGACGACTTGAATAGATGTAGGAAGATTAGTGATTGAGTGGACAGCATAGTGGATGGTTGATTGATTGGATAGAAGTGATGGAGAACAAGAACAACTAGTCCATCATCGTAGCAAGAAACGATAACACCAAAACAATGACAGAATCCTTTTACCACAGCGCTGCAGACTTCCTCTCATCGACTACTATGAGCGAACAGAATCGTACCGTGTTTTGTTCTGGTTTACCTTTCTAGACATTATAGCCCACACGTTTTCGATCAGATTTTAATTTGGAGAACGAGCGGGCCACTCCATCACATGCACGCCTTGTTCAGCAAAGAAGTCCGTCGGCATCGAAGAAGTATGTATGGCCGCGTTGTCCTGCTAAAAATAGAAACTCTGTACCGTTTGTGATGAGCAAGAGACAGCAAATACTCGGATATCGTGTAGATGTAAATCTTCTAATTTTTGGTTTCCCATCACTATGGCCAGCTCAGTCTTTCCGACTCCGCTAAACCCACCCCAAACCATTACGGACCCTCCGCCCATCTGAATACGATTCGTCTGCCTAATAGAGACACGCACGTCTCCCCAATAGTGCTGTAGGCCGTCTGGTCCATTGGGGTTTCGTTTTGTTTTGTCCGAAGAATAATCGACATCTATACACTGGGAAGAATCAGCATCTCCTCCGACCATGCAAGACGAAGCACTCTATGCATATCCAAAAGATGAACCGACTTCTCCATTTTTGTGTACGTCACTCTACACATAGAAGGACGTGGCGCATAGTGCAAACCGAGTAATTTAGCTCGAGCTGATGATGTAGCAGTGTAGCTAAAATTTCCGCTTACTGCCGTGCGAACCAGCACACACAGAGCACGATCAGGCATATTTTGTGGTCTGCCTGCGCTAATGCGGCCGACGTGACCGCTCACAACAGGCATTACTGCGCCACGTGGCCGATTGAAAGCATGTGCGGTGGCGCGCTCTGTGAGGCCTGCTTCATGCAAGCCTTGAGTCCTGCCACGGTCTAGGTCGGTTAGCGCTTTCCCCTTCCCCATTGCTCCAGGATTGCAGAAAAGCATTCACAGTTTTATTTGAAATTTGTGGGCTTTTTTGGCCGTATCCTTTGCCGGGCACAAAAAACGTTTTTTGGGTGTGAGCCATGAGACCGATTCAGATTTTCGGATTCTTGATCACTGCAGAGGGGTGTAACAAGGCTTTGCGCATGTCATACTCAAATCAAAGCGCCTAATTCGCGAGAGCCATGGAGTTATGAGCACTTATGTGGGTGGCCGTATCATTATGACGTGAAGTGTAACTCTCAATAGTTGAGCAACAAAATCCCATTTCGAATGCAAATTCTATCGTCTAGCGCCATCTCGCATGTTTCAAATACCGGCTTGCATCATCTTGTCGTTTTCAAATACCGTCTTGCACCATCTCGTTAGTTTTCAAACAGTTGTTCAATCCAAAAAGCTCGACATAAATTATGGACCGAGCTACAAATCCAATAAATTCCCTCTGCCGTAAACACGCCCGTGCAACTCCAAAATCGATTGGACATATTCCCCACTTGAACTTGGCTAAGTAGCCAAATCAGTGGGTGCATCGCACTCAACTAGACAGGCCTTTCTGCCCCCCAAGTTGCCCCAAGACGTGCACGCCAGACTTCCGACTTTTGCGCACTCGCCGACTCCCGCGGAAACATTGTACTGCCACGTGAGACATGCTGGACTGGATCCAGGCAGATGCGACCGACCCCCGTACGCCCAGCGACAATGAGCTTCTGCTTTCTGAGCATGTCTTGGACCAGCTTGGCGACGACGTGGCGACGGAGATGATGCTGTCGGGTGCCGTGTCCAGCGAGTTGGACGCGTTCTGGTGCGCCGTTACGAGTCCATCCTCGGACCTAGACATGCTAGGCGACGCCAGTGCGCAGCCAGCAGAGGCCGAAGCACCACGTCGACGGCATTTAGCGGCCGTGATGACAAAAGACGTGAAACCGCGACGGGCAGCGCCAACTGCAGCCAAAGCACGTCTCCGCAGCTACGAGCGCCGCAGTCGCTCCAAGCGCGAGGTGAGTGGTCGATACTATTAACCAATCACAGCGCTCGTCTTTTGCGTGGAGGAAGAAAACAGAAGAAGACATAACAGATGTGCCCTGTCCATGTCTATTGTTGTCGTTCTGTCCCTTTTTTGTAGCGCGCCATGTTGACTATGAAAGAACGAGTTGCCGTCCTCGAGTCGCGTCTCCAGGAGCGCTGCACGTCTGAGCCGCGCGCGCATTTGCTCCAGCACAAGATCATGGCATTAGCAATGGAGGCCACGACCCTCAGCCATGACAACCACGAGCTGCGCAAAGTACTGGACGACCACGAGTTTTTCCACGTCATGTTGCAGCTCGAGTACGACCACGTACGTTCGTGTCTCTTCCACCAAGCTCGTGGTTTCCTTTTTCTGTTATGGTCCCACCAGTCGTCTTTCCATGCCCTGCTTCATGTCTCACTGCCCCGTCTCTTGTCCTGGTTCGATTTTTTGTTTCGCCATTTGTATCCAGCGCGAGACAACGTCCGACTCGGTGACCCACAAGCTCCAGGATACGCACGCGCCGTGGCGCTGCATCAGCGAAGCCATGCGTCTCCGCATCATGCACGACTCGTGCCTCGAGATTGCCACCTTCTCCACGAGCGATGACTTTGTCTCGAGCGGACTCGAGATCTGTGGCTGGCACGAGAAGCGCAAACTCGAGGGCCACAACGTCAACTTTATGTTCCACAAACGGTTTGCGACCGCGTGCAGCGATGAACTAGCGGCCCGGAGCTGGGAGATGCGCGCCGTGCAGGACCAAGTGACGCGCTTCTTTGGCCACAGTCTCGAGGTCAAAGTCGAGGTGCTCCAGCGCTTTGCGAACGACGTGGTCGTCGTGCGGCGCAAGATTAAGCACACGCTGGACGGGTGGGAGCACCACACGATCTACCTGCTCTTCCGCACCAAGACGCCGGACGGGCATCTCGTGTGCATTCGGGACATGAACCCCGTCGACGCGGATCAGCTGCAGCTGATGGCCGAGTCAACGATCACACCGCCAGCTCGGGACGTGATCTGGTCAAAAGCTTTTATCTGGTGGAAGTTCACCACGTTGGTACCGGAAGCAGGAGCCGAGCAGCTGCCAAGTGGCTTTGAGGTTGAGTACGGAGGATCACTGGGCTATGCGACGGAGGCGGACGCTGCTTTTTGGATGCGCGAAGTGCTGGTACTCGCGCTGCGGTGGGAGAACTTAGTCGTGGGGCCGCTGATCACGTTGGACTAACAAGGAGAAAAAGGAAGAAGGAATTTGGGACGAGTACCGGCGGGACGACCGCCACTCAACTGCCGGTTGTCCTTCTGACTGGTCCCAAGTTGAGGAACCTTTTCGCGTGGCCGATCGAATACTCAGGTGTGTGAGACGTGCTGCGAGCGTTAGGACGCAGACAGTTGGTGCTGCATTTGTCAGTTGTTCGACTATGGACGCTCTTTTGGAAACGAAGTCACGCTGGACAGGTCGCGATTCTATTTGCCTGGGCCTCGCGGTGCTTGCTGCTATCAACGTAATCATGTGCCTGTGGGTGGCAGCTACTTCCATGTCAATGGCGCGACGCCAAGCAAGTGATGTCTTTTTAGCTGTGGAGAAAGCTTCGGTGATTGAGTTTAACCTTACGATGCAGCCCACGACCAGTTCTGAGTCGGTCATTAGTGTGACCGGGCAATTGCAGCCTCGTCTTTCGAAGTGCTCGCAACGACTGTACTTCAATGGACGCATGACCGTAACGACGTCAAATGCTACCGAGGTGTTCGTGTTGATGAACCACCGGGGATACCGTCATCTGCGCGATGCAAGCAGCACGGACGCGACTTGTTTGACGCCTCAGGACATTCCACCGCTGCATACGCTACCCGATACCGTCAACAGTGCATTCCGACCGTCAGTTTACGAGGCGTTTGCAGTCGATTGCACTCCGCTGCAGTTCACGTTCTATGACACGCCATTCGTCGTGTGCGCGGAAGATTGGCTTCGCGCGACGTCGTATTCCCAGCATTCGATGCTTTCAACGAGCAATGCCGAGCAACCGAGGCTCGGGTCTGATCCGGTGCTGGTCGTTCATGGCAAGAAGTCGACGATTAGGCTTCTCATGTTGAACAACTCCGAGAGCTTTCCGGTCGGTGCTGGTCTACCATCTGAATCGTTTGATCACTGCGAGTATCTCGAAGCACCAATGACTTCAGGCGAGTCGTGCTCGAATCGGACACTTCGATGCCCTAGCCCCCACGCTGATGCTTGCAAGAAGCAAGGGGTCCATGAAGCGTAATTCGTTCTCTTGCTTCTTGCAAAGCAGACGAGTGCAAGGAACGTAAGATATGCATGATGAAAACTGACGGTCGGGGTTTGACACGACACTAGCAGTTTTGTCTTGCCTGCCATCTGTCTGATTTTCATTGGCGACAATTTAATTAGCGACAATTTAATTAGCGACAATGTAATTATCCGACGCACAGCCACATTGTCAGCGGTGGCCGAGCTGTACGACGATTAGATCGGTTCGAATGGTCCTACTTGGGAAGCTGCGTGACTGTCGCATTCGAGTTTGCCAATTTTACTCGTTTCGTCAACTGCCTCTGAGCTCTCACTCATGGAAATGGACGACGAAGGAGAGCAGCAGAAACACGTGGCGTCGCTGAGCACGGTGTCTCTTGACTTGTACTCAGAAGCAAGCGATGGAGCTGACGAAGCTATGAAGCCACCGGTTTGTAACCGATGCACTTGTGCACCAGTGGTGATATTGACTGGTCTAGTCTTGGTTGCCGTTGGGTTGGTGCTGGTGCTGGATGGGGACTACACTCGTCAACAGGTTGATCATGGCACAGAAGATTCAGTTCCAACAACGTTCTCGCCACTAACGAGCAGCAAAACCGATCTCAAGGCTCCCGCAAAAATGCTACTCAAGTGGTTGGAGCAGATGCATTACGCAAGCGCACTCGATGTCGAAGGCGGTAGCAGTGACATGAACGTGAATGGTGTGCTCTTTCCGCAAAATAGCACCGATACGTTGTTGCCGTTCAACGCCATCTTCTCAGTCTCATCTGGAATGGCTGTACCCAGTCAAGACTATATCGCTGTAGCAAACGGACGTGGCTACAAGTGGACCGTGACCTCATTTGGTTTTGGAGAGAACCTCGCCACAGAGGGCTGCTTGTCTGCAGAGCACGGACTCCCTTTCGATAAGCTCGACTCGATCGTACAAACAGCAAACTGGACGTTCTCAGACCTTGATGATACGACTAAAGTGGACGTTCGTGTGGACGAAGAGACGTACACGGTTTATCCGGAAAGCAACAACCTTTCAAGTTATGACCATTGCTGGATCATTCAGCGCGATGACCTCGAGTTCGGGTTGCGCCTTTGCACCTCCACGACGAGTGGACAGCTTCTACAGACTGAATTTGAAGATTTGTTCAATGCTACTGCCCAGTGCCCTGAACTTGCACCGAGTGCAACTCGCACAGAGGCCCGCGCACTATTTTCTGTACCACTGCCGTTACGTCAATGGTATGCTAACTACCAAACGCAGTAAAGACCGAGAATCAAGCGTCTCCAGGAACTCAGGTACTCATACGAAAAAGGTCGTTGAAGGATTTGTTTGGTTTGCAGTGTGCTGAAAGACGCCCACAAATGTAAGTCTGGTGATAACTTGGCGAAATATTTGAGTGCCCTGAGTGCTTTCAATAATAAGTCACACTCATGTTCCGCTAACTGGTGTAATATTGGCGAGTTGTGGAGCGCCTGCTATGCATGTGTGTATGAAAATGGTAGAGCATGTTGCAGTAGGTGGTCGGTATTGAACGAACACTGCACGCATAATTGGCCCTGGAAGCAAGAGTAGAGGTAGGTTCGGTCGGCGAGGCTCGTAAGCCGAAGCATACAACGTGACGAGACCTTGTCTACTCAAGGGTCACGACAAGACGCTTTCAGTGCGGACCCCGGAGCAGAGGGAATGCTGGGCGGCAGAGCTTTTTGTTCACCAGCTTGAACCTCCTTGTAAGAACAAAGCACATTGACGACGGGCTGTTTCATGGTGAGATATCGTACTGCTGTTTACTTGGTCTCGTTGTAAACGCGTTATTGCTGTCATTGTTCAGTTGCACTCGCTGAGCTCTAGGAACATGTTGATGCGGGGTAGCCCCATTCTTGGAGCTCACGTAAGTCGAGTTTAGCTGTTGTGAATCTGATGCGACCGCAACTTTGGCTACATTCGGTCCTGCCGGTTCATTCTCAATATCAAAGACGTCTTTGCTGGTCTTCTCGGAGCTGCGGGCACCTTGCAATAACTTGGTGTCGTCGTCTCTCTCGACGTTCTCAATTTTCCTGTTGGCGTGGTATGAGTGTTCGCAAATGTTGGACCGATCGGCCAGATGTCTAAGCACGTGTACAAGACTTGCTGTCCTTACGCACCACCACTACGCACGAAATAGGCCCAAGCTACAATCTCCTTATGGTGCACGATCTGTTTTTCATGCGTAGAAGACTGGAAACCGACAGCCGAAACCTACCAGTACATTACATTGCAAACCATCGTAGTAAATCCAATGACTCACTGTCCACCTTACCCTGCTAGTATATCTGCTCAACGTGTTCACCCCGTACAAACGACGTCTACACACACATGAAAACAGACGCCGCCGTTCCATGGTCGCAGCTATGCGCAGTAGCAATGCGAGTGAGTGCCCGATCACTCTCTGGAGAAAGACACGATATTTCTAGAGCTTCAGCCGCTCAGAAAGTCTCAATCTTGGCCCGATTTAGGACAAACCATTTGCCGACACGACTACATTGGTGTGATATCGTGCCCCCTACTTTCGTCCGGGCGTTGACGTGAGTGCTTTGCAAAGAGCTACGGTGGACATTACCGTGATTACCAGACACCTGAATCATGGCGAAAGATTAATCTCGTAAGCGATGAGCGAATTGGTCGGCCGATACGTCGGTAGAGGCGTCTTTTAACACTTGGGGTGGTAAAGACGAAGTACATCTATCTGCCCGGTGTTCATACAACAGTCAGCCAGCAACAGCTGCTGCTCGGTCGAACACATAATGGTCATCGACGCCAGGTGTGCTCGCTCAAATAGGCAGCGAAACCCAATTTGTCATCTTGTTCTGCTTTATGCTCTCTCGCGCATTGTCCATCGTCTGCATTTAGGAAACCCCATGGTCGTCCAGCTGGATCAGAGTTATCTGTGGCTCAGCTTTGCCGTCATTAGGTCTCGGTTGTTAGTCCAGAGGTGCCACCGAAAGGGTGACGCTCGTGATCTCGAGCAGACAAGTCTAGCTCATTCTTCAATTTGCCTTACCATTCAAAGCACGACATCCATCGACACTACACTCAACCATGCTGGCTTTGAAAACCCTGTCTCTACTTGTTGCATCCGCTGTAGCCATACACAGTGCCAGTGCCATTGAGCAGGGACAAGGCGGTGGAAATATGCAGTCTTCGGATCTGCCCCCGACGTCAGCGTTTGAGTCCGCTCCCGAAGCACCGGAAGATGCTTCACCTGACGCCGACGGGACCGGCGAACCAGAGTCCGCTTACACGAGCGAAGGCGAGAATGCCTACGATACCACCGATCTGAATACCGGCAACGGTGTGGACGAATCGTCGGTTGTTGACCAGGAGAGCAGCTCGCTGTCCGATTCAAGCGGCACTACCGACTTGCCAGCCGAATCGAGCAGCTCTGGTTTCTCGAGTCTCGGGTCAAGTGACTCTGGTGACCTGAACACGGAGGTGGAGTTCACTTCAACTTCAGCTTTGGGCTCTGCTGCTGTCGATGAGACTTCCTCGCTCTCAGGCAGCTTGCCAATCGACAACTACTCGACGGGGTCGTCGGATGTAATGATGGGTACATCAGGCTCAGAACCGAGCATGGATCCGACACCGGAAGATTTGATGACGGAGGATGTGACTCAGGACGACGGCATGCCGACAAACGAAGATGGCGGTGCGGCTACTGTCCCTACTGACGAAATCGAGAGTCAACCGGATGTGTCGAGCCCGACTGAGAGTGAGTTGGAAACCCCCGATTTGACGGATGGCTCGACTGCCACTGAAAGCGATGTCCCAGAGATCGTCCCGACCACGGGAGCAAGCTGCAAGCGCCGTCTGCGCCGGAACTAGGTCGCTTGTTGCTGAAGCTTCGATCGACTTCGGATACGGTTGAGTCGTTTTATGGTGCATTTTGTAGAGGGTAAAGACAATGTCAACAGTGCTGTTTCTTGGATTCATTTGGTTTAGAGGTGTACAAACCCACCAAGAAGTCGATTCGTTCGTTGTTGTTTACAGCGACCCATGTTAACCGCGATGTCATTTTAGAAAAGGTGGCAGAATCCTAGCTACCAAAAGGTAAAGATTCTGGCAGGGCTACTTCAGCTTTGATGATCCCGCTTTCCATGGCGTTACATGCTCGAGTAAATGTACAGTTGTCACCGCAATCTGTACAGTTTCTAGATGCCATGAGGATGAAACAATACATGGCAAGGGTCGTAGCAGGAGAGCCGAAAGGCTCAAGATAAAACCCTTGATGCTTCCACCTGAATCGTTTCTTTGCATGGAGAGAGCAGCAGTTGGTCACTTCAAAGAAATGTGCTTTGATAGACGCCACCCAAGCGCTGATTCTTCTGAGTATAATCAGTAACAACATGGTGCGAGTGTGGCGTACATTTGACATTGTGTGCTAAGAATCGAAAGGCAATTACCGCAGACCAACTTTGGTCCGCACGATCCGTTGATGCAGTCAACAGGTTACGTTTTAGCATCTGTGATGACGGATTGTGTCAAGCAAAAAGTCCAGAGATCTATTTCCGTTGGGATCTCCTCGATGGTCGGCTAGGGCAGTCAGTGCCTCGGTACGTCATTCAGCGATGCGTTCACGAGCAGCTTACCGAAAGATCAGACAGCAAAAAGATATTTCGCGCCTCGTGCACTCTCCCGACTATATTCGATAGAACGTCGAACGCTATCGGTGATGACGAAAACTCACGTTAGAAAGGAGCAACGGTTATTATTTCATTTCAAGCGCTTCGAATCGCGTGTCAACGGATTTGAATGTATTTCACGATCCCAGCTCGTCCCTCGCTGTCCTGAAGATAGTGCCTTTGGGCTTGGTACTCGCCATTTGGCGATCATACTCTCGAGTGAAAAATGCAGCTAGTCTGAAGCATGAAGTTGCTTGGTCGCAAGTTTGCTAGGATGGACAAAGTTCAACAGCAAAGGGTTCGTTAAAGAAGAGAATTTCGATACCGACAAGCGACCCTAGGAGCCAAGAGAAAAGGCTATTTCAGTCGCGAGCCCGAAGGGTAAGCGATTAGTGACAGTATGCAAGGTGAAGGCCGAACTTTGAAAACACAACTTTCTCTTTGTCAACGTGTGTGTCTGGGTTTTTGCAAACTACGCTAGGTGTACCTTACACGTCGTACCAAGTGCGGTGTAGCTTGCCCACTCCTCATATAAGTGGATGTGCATTTAGGTGTCACTCTTTGACAAGTTACCAAGTACGAATCTGTCTAAAGTGTACTGCACACATGCATCAGTGCCCACGGATGATTTCCAGTAAGTAATCATTGGCGAAGAAAGGGTAAAATGGAAATGTTCAACGCTTAATGGCAGCGGGAGTCTCGCACCTCCAGCAAAGAGTATACGCGACGTGGTTTTGTGTTCGTAGTACACGATGAGCTTAATAATATGAGGTTATGATCACGTTTTTCCTCTAGGTAGTCGAAAAAATTCCCGCAAATTCATTTCCCTTTATCAAACATAAATGATGTATCAGCGGCCGCACTTTGTCCATTACGCGTTACCGGAGAGGACTATCCTCCGTCTCACTCTTTTCATATCCATTTCTAGCATCACTATCATCAACAAGTAGCCTCAACGCACTACAATCCAGTAGCACTCATACTGATTGAAAACAACCTCCACAACAAATCCTTAGCCGCCAACCACTCGAATCGGGTACGTAACTTACCGACCTTGATCCAGTTCTCAGGACTAAATGCATACATTATAGGGCAAGCTTCAGGGCTCGCTTCCACATCATAATACAAGCTCGTTAGGTACCAGTTAACAAAGTGATGGCAGCTCATCCAACACCTCGTTTTGTTCCTATGCCACAAATGTCTCTGGGTATGAGCACACTTTAGTAAACCTGTATCATGCCATTGCTGTCACAAAAATTATGACAGTTACTTTGGTCTAAACGAAAATGACATTGTATCGAGCAGGAAGCAAATTTGCGTCCAATAGGATCGGGGAAGTGGCCAAACGTTACGGTGCAGTGAGCAAGTTGTGAGTTCGCAAAGGCTGTAGTGGCATCGCCAACTACATGAGCTGACCACGTGACCAATGGGTAGACAGTGTAGCCTAGAATTTGACGTTTAGTGCCTCACTCCTTATGTCAAATGTTGACCTGAACTAGAGCCGCCATGTCTGCTCAGGCGTGTCGTGTTACTTGACGTCTATTAAAACAAGCGGTAGCCTTGTATCCTTTTTGACAAGCACGTTTCACATAGCTAAGGTTACGAGCAGACTCGTAAACATCGTGAGCTCAAGAGCACAAAAAGTATCATATTAACTACAACAAAAGAAGATGGATCGCTATAGAAACGCCCGGGTAACAATTCTGCTGCGATAGCAGCTATGACGCTGGAAGAAGCCGTACGATACACGTGCTTTAAATCTCATTATTTCTACTCTTTTAAGTGCTCTTTTGCTTGGAGAAAAACAGCGTCGAGTTTTCCAACATTATGTACATCACAAAAGATGGCAATTTGATTGAATCGCGTCCTTGATTTTCTTCAGTCTCAAATAAATGGACGCTGCGCGAATACCGCCGATATGTGCGCCGAACGCTGCACCGCCACATGAGCCACAACAGCAGCCTGAAGGGAAGAAGAAACACGGAAAGAAGCCGCCGAGTGGGCACAAAAGAAGCTCGAAACGCCGCCGCAATCACCTGAAGCAGCCGCTGACCAAAGACATGCCGCGCATGCTGTCCGAGCTTCTAAAAGAGCCCAAAATAGCGCTTTTGCATCGCGTTGTAAAAATCGTGGGGCCCAAGGTATCCTGGCAGCTCTTGCGAGAGACGCTGCGTCTGGAGAAAGACGGCGGGCAATCAGTTGACACTGCAGCCAAGAACAGACCCGAGCTTTTGTACGTGCTGGACGAAGCTTCTCAAGACTGTAAATTGCGGCGCCGCACGGCGGGCGGCGTCTTCTTTACGCTATTGAAAGAAAAGGTATCAAAAGAGACATACCGAACGATTTATGAGGTCGAAGACCGGAAGAAAAAAGAGACCAAGAAACGGGCCCGTGGTCGCCAGCGCCAGAGAATGGACAAGACATTGGCTGCGTTGCGGTTTGATGACCTCACCTTAGCTGCTCAAAGTGCAAACTTTGGGGTGGCTAGTGCGGATGAAGCACAGACGTGTGTCACAACGTCAGCTGACTCGGAAGTTACTGCGATGACTGAGGACGGTGAGGTCGTGGAGCACATGCAGGTCAATTAAGGAAGTGCAGTGATCGCAATGTTAGAGGCTTGGACATTGCTTGATAACTGAAAAGACGCAGATCTACTGCCTTTGCTATCATGCTTGCTGCGTTTTATTTTTTTTGCCTTCATGCATTAACGTGCTGACTCCAATGTCGCTTAGGTATAACATGACTCGGCGTGAGTGACGACAGAAGATTGGTTATTCCCAATGAAGCAAGCTGGATTAAACGCACATATACCTCTTACCAAGCTACGGTGTTTATCGTCCGTAGCCACTTGGTTGACCAAATGCAGTATTCAAGACGCCCATGCCTTCTACTCGTTCACCTTGAAGAGGCGCAGGGCCCACTTCCTCAAGTCGCTGGAGCTTCCCTCGTATTCAAGGTACTTGTCAAAATACAGATATTTCGCGTACTGCGGCCCATGAAGGAAGATGTGTTCACGAGTGACTGCCTTGGAGTTGTATTCGGCAACAGTGGACGATTCCAGACCAAGCACGTTTTGGTATGCTTCTCGAGTAATGCCGTGCGCCTTCATCTTTTCGAACTGTGGTTAGTACGTCTTGATCGCCTTCTCAACAAGCTCCGACTTCGCAACGTTTACGCCATCCTTCAAGTCATATTCTTTCTTCTTCCAGTCTTCTAGTTTCCGTTCCCATTCTGATTCTAGTTCCCTAAACTTCCATTCCTTCTTCGCCAAATAATTCTCCAGCATCGATTTCCAGGCATCCCAAAACAATGATTTCATTTTTCCGTCACCCGTGGCTGCTAATTTCGCTTGCGAAGCTTCTAGTTTCGCTTGCAAAGCTCCTACTTCCGCTTGCAAAGCTTCTCGTTGTTCTTGCCAAGCTGCTTTCGTCGTCTCCCAGGCTTCTTCTTCCTTTTCCCAGGCAGCACGAGCGTCCTGCAGAATAGCCTCCATGTTATTTATATTAGTCTCCAGACGACGTCTCCGGGCGGTCTCCATGACACGAAATGCATCTTCTACCTCTCTCCAGGCATTCGCGTACTATTCCCCCGTAACCCCCCCTTCTCCTAGACATCGTTCACCTTCTGCAAAGCCTTATCGACCTTCCTCACAGCCTCCTCCTCAGGCAAAACCTCATCAACCTTACTCAAGGCCTCCCCCTCCCCCGTCGGGGCAGACTCCGCTTTCTCCCAAAATGCAGACTTCCTCGCCATCCAACCAATCCAGTCGTGCATCTTCTCCGAAGCCGCCTTCAAATGCTCCTCCAACCCAGGAAAAAAATCTGGCGCCCGTTCTTCACCAACAGCAGCAGTCATGTCTTCGCTTGGTTTCAGCGCTTGTTTTCCGCGCGCCTTCGAATTCGTAGCCAGCTTTTGGACGGGGATAGTGCCATCAGGCACCGTGCTGGCCGTAAGAGCCAGGAAAGCGTCACTGATAGCACCCGGACTGAGCAAGAGCACGAAGAGAAGGAAGCGCTTGATCATCGGAGACGCCAATACTCGCAGTCAATGGGCGGGGAGAAAGAGGGGAATGAGGTCCGAAGTAGTTCTGACGACCACCAAGCAAATTTGAAACTGGTGTGTTTGTGAGAAATTCTTGATGGAAGATGGACTCGTCACCTTGAGCTACGGCTTTGCGCCACATGCGTACCTTGTGGCGGAGAGACATGCCTGGACCAGTTCACGCTGGCTAGACATCGGGCTGCCACCGAAGTCGAACTATATGGCCTCAGATCTTCATGATTGTTTATTAGGCGACGAGCCTTCTGCTGTCGTCGACCCGCAATGTGACGATGATGTGCCGCAGAAGAGAGAGGCAGACCTGCATATTTAACTGCTTAAGGTTGCCAGTTGTCTGAAAGTTCCAAATCCTGGATGGCAACGCCGGTGCTCTTGCAAGTTCGGCGGCTGTACGAGGTTTGTCACATATTGTGACGCTCTCGGTTTGTCAAACGACCTGCTGGAGCCAAAGGACAACCGTGTATCGTTCGTGATCTGTCGCGGCCGCCCGGACGGCCGGATAATCATAATGTGTGCATTCGCTACGGCGAATGCAAAGACCGTAGGGAAACCCTGATGACCGCTCGCCCGGCCCCTCGACGTGAAGTGCGATCACCGAAGTAACCGCAAGGCGTGGGGAACGCCAACCCGTCGTAATATCTCCCCTAGAAGTTCATACATCTGCGATGGTGGCCCCATCAGCCGCTTGCGCGACCCCCAAGACTTGGACTGTGCGACCGCCGCAACGGCGACACGTGGCGTGGGGTACGCATCCATTTCGTAACCCCCCCTTCTTCGCCGCGTGCGCGACCCGTCGGTCCACTGCTCTCACATCCAATATTGCGAGTGCAGCTTGCTCGAGGCAGACCCCAGATCGCTTCGGCTCCCCTATGGGGAGGATTCCCTCCGAAGTGGCCGCCCCCGAAGGCGGAAAAGACTGACTAGAGCTGAACCGTAAATTTTTGGGAATGATGAGCCGCAGAAGAGGAACACTGGCACGGTTTGCACAAAGGTACAATCGGGGCACGAGGATGCCATCTGGTCCTGTCGAAGGGAAGCATAGTGTCTCCCGTTTTTGAGAGACAGGGATACGTCAATTCTTCGCGCTGGCTGAACGTGAGCATCGGGGTATCGGTACCGTCGTCCAAGGGGCTCTCTTGCATGCCGGCATCGAACTTTTTACCCAAGCGCCCCGAGACATCGGGGCTCCTCCGGGTAACAGTCACGAAACTCTTCCGGATCCGGACTTGATTTCCTGGCTCAGGAGTTTTCAGACATCTTGTACATAATCACATGTCAATAGACCGTCATGATATCTCTCTCTCCCTGTCGAAGGGAATGAAAACTTAAATGGATCCCTGTCCATGTCGCACGTAGTACGTAGGCGGCACGCGTGCATATTAGAGTAAATGTCACTAACTATCCTGGGTTAAAAGTCTCATTATCAGCACCAGTCCCAAAAGCAGCACACTCTTTCTATTTAGTGTTGAAAACACTACTTGGTGCTCCCAATCATGAGAACTATGTAATGCTATAAGCGCCCTGAGTTCAAGCACTCAGTAACAGCAAGATTTATCAAGATGTCACCCTATAGGGTGGCGGTTGATTAAGGTGCAAGTTATGAAGCCACTCAATTGGCTCATGGACTAGTTTTTAGTCCGGTGTTGCTGCAACTAGGTGCTCGAAAGACAAATGTCTTAAAAAGAACTGGCAGTGCAGGGTTATAAAAAAATTCGCAACAGCAAGACGTGTGTGTGCCCACGAGATCGATGCCAACGGGAGATTAGTTTGACAGAGAAAATCGGATGGGTGCAGCTTCAGAGCACTACATTTCCACCCAACATGATATTCACGCCGACGTGTGCCTGGCAATCGATTAGATGGATTCACATCCATGTTCATACGATACAGCAGGTTTTTTTGCGACCCTGTAGTGTAAGAGTGAAACATTATTGACTACAATAAGCGAGACAATTAAGCACACGTGTATCTTACGAGCTAGTTACGACATCGTGACTGAAGTTAACGTTATGTTATCCTTGTCCTTGTTGTTATCGCTATCGGTAGGTAACAAATGGCTAATTTCGTCATACGCGAAGAATTCACGTGACTAAGCAGCTTTACGTACAATACTTCGCAGCGATCAGTCGTTTCGTGCTGTTAGCGCACTACATAGTCCAGCAATACAGGAGGAAGCATTAGACCATGACCTAGAGTCCGCTGTCCCTTTTTCAGCTCGCACAAGGACCTACATAACGAACAATACGCACCATAAAATATGCAGCATTGAATGCCCAGCGTGCAACCGACTAAAACTGTTACGTACTACTGCTCTGCTCAAATTGCTTTTATCCAGTATCAGCATAACATTCTCAGCAATCAAGGTATTTTGTAACGGGGTGAATCGTTACATAACAATTTATAAGAGATTGTTAATAGAATATAACTATAAGAGTTATATTCTCAGAATATTGTCATAAGGACAAATATTCTGCAGCACTTACGAGTAGTTCCTAATTGGTTGATATAGGCCATTATATCAACCAACGAAGACGCGCCACGACAGACGCACGCAATGAGTGGTGAGCAGATAGTTGATGTACACATTTGTATTCAGACATTGTTAGATGAGAATAAATAGTGGTTTATTAACAGACATTAACTATGATAAATACAGCTCTACTTTTTACTTTAACCAAGTACTCGCGTCCTCTTACCGTCTTCCTCTGCATGTACCAGTGTACGTGAAGTTCCGAGGCACCTCCTCATTCTGTCATCAGAATAAGTAGCTTCTACTGTCACCAGTATAAGCTTCAGGGTGCCCTGTTACACCTGGTAGCACTTCGTAGTCCGTCCAAGGACCACGTTCACATCTAACATGAATATGTTAGATGATGAAGATGACCAAAGCTTTCATGCTACGCGTGACGGCTACTCCCATTTGAGAAATGTCGAATGGGATGCGGTTGAACGGATGGATTCAACTATGGGTATCCATGCTGTTAGCGTCATGCTAGAGGCTCTCAATAGAGATGCCCAACGTGCTACTATTGCCAAGTTCATTCAAAATGAACTTGACGCTGAGCGCGAGAAAGTAGCATTGCTTCACCAACAAGGTTCTCAACAAGCAGAGTTGTTGAGAGAACAGGGTGCTCAACAGTTTGAACTGTTGAGACAGCAGCAGGCTGCTGCTGGTGGGTCGATGCACTCGCGTCGGCCCGAGACCTTGAAGATTGACATCTCCAAGTATAGGGGAGTCGAAGAGGACCCCCTCTTGAGATGGCTCGTCGATTTAGACGACGCCATAAAGCGCGTCGCATCAACGACGGGAATATGCAAGTTGCATTTGCCCAATCAAATCTGGCAGGGCGTGCCAAGACTTGGGCACTGGGGCTCAAGTTGCACGACCCATATGCGTTTGGGTCGTTGGAAGTCTTCAAGTCGCGGCTCAGACAAACGTTTGAACCGCCTAGAGCTGAGTTCAGGACTCGAACCGAACTCTTGAAGCTCAAGCAGGGTAAGCGTGATGTGCACGCTTACGCTCAACATATACGACATCTCACGAGTTGTATAAGTTCCAATCCGGTGGATGAACACACGTCGGTTTCGGTGTTCATGCAGGGTCTTGCGGATGGTCCCGTCAAGACTCACCTGTTCCGACTTGAACTAGATTCACTAGAACAAGCCATTTCCATTGCGGAACAGGAAGACTTCAGTCTGAGACAGGCTCGCGCCAGCTCGACATCATATCGTCAACCGAGACGATATGACAGCGGAGGTCCAGAGCCGATGGAACTCTGTTATGTAAAGAGCGAAGAAGGCTCGCTCTACAGACTACAAGAAGTTGCAGAAATGTAACAGATGTCAAAAGACAGGACACTACGCTTACGAGTGTAGTGCCCCTCGTCCAGTGTCTCGCAACACTGGGCGTAGTGACCGTCCACCCATGAGAAAGGGGCAAGGACGCGGGTCCGCTGTTGGTGCAAAGACGCAACAACGGGATGGACCGTCAAAAAACGGACAGGATCAGTAGGTGCGGAGCACCCTACTGGTCCAGCAACGTCAAGAGAATTTGTAGGCCTCTTGAAGAAGGTTGCTCCCAACACACAAACGTTGTGCGTTGCTGCTCTAGGTAATGAGATCTCACTCATCACTTTGAAACTCGAAGTGACGAATAAGTTGTCCCTTCGAGCTCTAGTCGATTGTGGGGCGTCCAACAAATTTGTGCGACGCCAATAGCTAGAAGATGGTCACTTCAAGTTAGTTGAATGTGACACACCTCCTACGAGGAAGGCGGTACGTCTTGCGACAGGCGCATCCGTAACCGTCATGAAGCGTATAGCGAAGATTCACTGTACGCTAGAAGATACCCAATATGATGATGACTTTATCGTATTGGATTTGGATGACAAATTTGATGTCATCCTTGGAATACCGTGGCTCAGGAGGTACGAACCACGGATTAACTGGCAACATCGAACAGTAACGATGCCTGCCACTTGTTCATAAGATGGCCATCTGATGAACGTTTCGGAGCGTCCACAAGCGTGTGGATGTACTACGAGTGAGTTCGATGGCCTCACTTGTGGTACGGTCCTTAGTGCGACTGCACAAAACCTTAGTGTAACAAACGGTTACACTTCGGAGCAAAGTTCCGGCGGCTGTGAGGAAACACAGGCTGCGCTGAAGGTCCACCACTCGAATAAGTCGGGTAGACTGGGACAAAGATGTATCCCTAGCGGGGAACATCTAGAAGAGAAACGATCGATCGCTCAGGTTAAGCGAAACGATAATCCTAGATCGACTGGAGAGTCTTTCGTAGAGGATCTCGCTGTGGTTGCGCAACCACAGCTAGAGGAAGTTAAGGGAATAAGTCCCGATATTACAAATACGGCGGAAATAAGTTCCCCGAAACCCGCGGGAACAAGTCCCAGGGAAGCAGAAGGAATAAGTCCTTCGAGGCCTGAGGGAATAAGTCCCCAGGAAATGACAGAGACATTGAATATCCTATTCAATGACGGATCAAGTGTAGGCGCTTATACACTTGATCTGATTGCGCCTCCGAAGTTGACTTCGGAGATCACTCAGTTGCCAACGCTCGAACATAAAAGGTTCTTGCGTGATCTGCGTAGTGGCAAAGTCAAGCAGATCTGCATACTCGTCGCTGACGACGAGTGCGTAGCCGACATAAGGTCAGCAACAATGTTTACTGAGAACGAGAGAGTTCTCAGTTGTTCATCGATGGACGAGAGTGTCCTCGATGAAACGACACGAGTTGAGCGATATGACTTCCAATCGTGGGAATCTCTCAAGACAAATCCTCTCTACGAAGATTTGGTTGAATTCACGGATGTATTCCCAGAAATGTTCCGTGCGAATTACCAAAGGATAAAGGTACTCGACACGAGGTCGAGCTTAAACCAGGCTCGAAGTAATGTGTCATGAAGCAGTGGCCACTGCCTTGTGAACAAGTACTTGCGATCGGCAAGTTCTTTGCCGATCATTTAGCTGCGGGCCGTGTCAGGGAATCAGCTTCCCCACTTAGCTCTCCGACCTTCTGTGTGCAAAAAGCAACAGGAGGGTGGCGGATTGTGCATGCATTTAACAAGTTGAATGCTGCAACGGTACCGGCTCAGACGCCGATACCGAGGAAGGACGTAATCATTGATGGTATGCCAAAGAGTACCATCTTTTCTTCCACGGATTTGGTGGATGGCTTCTATCAAATCCTTATGCGAGAACGGGATATACCCTATACCGCAGTGAGCACGCCTCGCAGCATGCTCTGGGAATGGCTAGTAATGCCACAAGGGCTTAGTAATGCCCCTGTCACTTTCAACAGATGTGTATCACATCTGTTGAGACCAGTACGAGAATTCGCGCCGAGTTATTTCGATGACGTATTCATCCATAGTCGGGCTATGGATGGAAAGTCGGACGTTGAGGTTCACAATTACCACGTCCCACAGGTTCTTACAATCATGCGAAAGCATCAATTGTATGCCAATCTCAAGGAGTGTATATTTGCAGCAAGTGAAATACCACTTCTTGGGTGTATCGTTGGTAAGAACGGTGTACGTCCTGATCCCGAAAAGATCAAGGCGATCACCGACTGGCCTGTGCTGGTTGATGTCAAAGGTCTTCGAAAATTCCTTGGGCTAGCGGCGTATTTGCATAAGTATTCACGCAATTACGCCGAGATGACTGTACACCTCTCTCGTTTGTTGAAAAAGAACGAGAGGTGGTTATGGAACGCTGAATGTCAGCGCTCCTTTGATGGTATGAAGCAGAGCTTGATGCAATCCCCAGTCCTAGCAATCGCCGATCAGGACAGGCCATTTCATGTGGTCTGTGATGCCAGCAATTTTGCAATCGGCTGTGCATTAATGCAGTACGATCTTGAAGGCGTTGAATGCGTCGTCTGCTATCAGTCGCGTCAGCTGCAACCAGCTGAGCGGAACTATCCAGTGCATGACAAGGAACTCCTTGCCATGAAGTATGCACTCGCGAAGTTCAGAGTCTATCTAGTAGGAGATAGACCCTTCATTGTTTACACTGACCCTGCGTCATTACGCACGGCAGTGAACAGCCCGCACCTTTCACAACGAATGGCGCGGTGGTTGTCATTCTTTGCAGAATACAACTTTACGGTAGAGTATAAACCAGGACGGATTAATGTCGTCGCTGATGCACTCTCACGTCGTCCCGACTTTGAACCAGTCGTGACAACCAACAGTGAGACAGTCACTGTTGCGGTTATGACGTCCTCAGTCCCATCTACAACGTTGTATGATGATGTGAGGCGGGCATACGCCCAAGATGGTGAGATAGTGAAGTTGTTGTCACATCTCTCCCAACCATCTCGAGAATCGTTGAAACGATTGTCGTCTGCGTATCGATCTGCATCAGATCGATACACTACTCGTAACGGTTTACTGTATTATACAGCCGTTTCTGGTGACACACCACGTGTTGTCATTCCAGATGATACTGATCTGCGTTTGCGGATCATGTTCGAGTATCACGATGCTCCTATTGGAGGACATCTTGGCCGGGAGAAAACATATCTCACGGTAAGTCGAGACTTTTACTGGCCCCGCCAGTATCAGTTTGTGCGAAAGTATGTTCGCGCATGCGAAGTCTGTCAACGAGTGAAGTCAAGTCCTTCACTGCGTGCACCTTTACAGCCTCTACCGGTTCCGGCTGAGTGCTGGGAATCCATCTCAATGGATTTTGTCTTCGGGTTACCCAAAGACGCACGCGGGAATACGGGCATTCTCGTATTTGTTGACCGATTCAGCAAAATGGTACACCTTGTGGCTGTACCAGAGTCAATCACGGCAAGTGGCTGTGCTTGTGTCTTTATTGACACCATCTTCCGACTTCATGGGTTGCCCCGTGAACTCGAAGCAGACAGAGATCCACGCTCCACCGCTGATTTCTGGCGTTCCGTGTTCAAATCACTCGGAACGCGCTTAAAGATGTCGACATCTAATCATCCGGAGTCAGATGGTCGGACGGAACGTGCCAATCGTAACCTCTAAGAGATACTTCGAGGATACGTACACTCCTTTAAGAGTTGGAGTGAGTTCTTGCTCATGGTAGAGTTCGCCATTAACAACTCGGTGCATGCGTCCACGACACATACACCGTTTTACGTGAATGGCTTGCGCCATCCGCGTGTATCCACCTTACTAGAGTGTAACTTGGGTTTAAGGGGGGGAGGGACTCGCGCGAGCAAAAACCGATTTGGTTCACGCTCATCACGCTCTGACGAAGAGGTCATTGCGTTTGACACCGATATCGATAACATCGATATCGAAGAAGATGATGCCAGTGAGAGTGCGGAAGCCCTCACTGAAGAAAAGGTTGATGTCACTGCAGTGCACTCACAGCGCACTGAAGCTAACGAGTCATCAGATGAGTTCATACTGGCTCGTGAAACGGTAGTCCGTTTTGTGCAAGACTCCATCGCCGAAGCGGTGGATAAGCAATAGCAAGACGCTGACAAGGATGGAAGGGCAAACACTCTTTTATTTAATAAAGGTGACTTAGTCCTAATGTCTACGGTTAATCTACCAAAGCATGTAGTGACTAACTTGGGTAGTAGTAAACTTCTACCCAAGTACATCGGACCATTTTGTGTATTGCATCGCCTAGGCAACGCAAACACGATCGAACTGCCACGTAAGATGCGAACGCATCCCACGTTTTACGTTAGTCGGCTAAAGCCGTACCATCAGTACGCTGATTCTTCCGATGAAGAACGCTCTTGCGCTCAAGCATCTCGCAGAGAGCCTTGCGCTCCCGATGGTGGGTATCGACAAGGGTCTGAAGAGCAGTTACCTCAGCCCGAGACCGCTCAACATCCCCACGAGCTACCCTTAGCTCGTCACGCAGAGACGTTAGAGCGCTCTCGTTCTCAAGCTGAGCAAAGGCAAACTCAGCTCGATGCTTCAAGACAGTGTCCGCCAGTTCAAGACGCCTGTCTCGCTCATGTTCGAGCGCCGCGTAACCCTTGCGTTACGCGATCAAAGAAGCTCTCGGGAACACACGCTTCCCCACGATTGTATGGAGAGCGTTTTCCCTCCTCCTCCAACTCCATTAGAGGACTCTCGCGGTGGCCAGCTCTATCTGGTTGAGCAGCTGTTGAACCACCGCGACGTGAACGGACGTCGGACGAGTTATCTCGTCCGGTGGCGCGGCTATCCCCCGTCCTGGGATACTTGGGAGCCCCGCTCCCAACTGATGATCGACGTACTGGGTCTGGTTGAGCAGTACGACGCGGCACATCCTGTGTCGCAGAAGGACCGCTGGAGAAATTCTTCCCGGCACGGTCGTAAAGGGATTTCAGGCTGTCAATCCCTTCGTACATCTCACTAGAGATACGTACGTGCCACCAAGGGCTAGTAAGGAGGTAAGCCTCCTTAGGTGCTCGTGTAGAGTTGTTCACACAACATGGGCACGAGTCTCCCCATGAGAGGCAGGGTAATCCTTTCTCCCTTGACAGACGATGCAGCTTGTAGCGTGCATCTGTCGGGGTTCGCTTTGTCAAACTTATCACGAGCTTTGATAAGTTTGTCGTTCCAAGCGTCACGACCTACATCCTCGAGGTTATGGATGTAGGCGTTCCACGCCTGAAGTAGTGAGGGACCATCACGTTTGTGATTCCCACTGTACCATCGATGTCTAAAGAAAGCATCGATGAAGAATTCATGTTCAGCGCGATAGTTTTTCGCGCTGGGGTCAAGGTGATGGATTCTTGACGAATCGAACAATCGTGTTCGATAACGATCACTTCTCGTCGCCGACCAGTGATCCATGACGGATTTGGAAGGTATCCATGCCTTCTTCTTGGGAGCGAGACGCAAGACATTGCGGTCCCGCTCTTCCTGCGACGTGCCGACAGAAGTACTGGCACCTCGTTGCGAAGTGGTGTCAATAGGAAAACCGACACCACTGTGAGCGCCCGAGTCTCGCGACCTCCAGCGCCTTCGCTTCGGCGATGGTTCATCTGATTCATCAGATGAACCAAAGATGCTGCGACGCATAGCATCATCCATGCCACGCTGGGAAGGCGGCTTGGATTCGATCGCCGTAGATATGGATCCGTCTTCTGTATCAGGAGAGTACGAGACATCGAGCTCATACTCTGTGAAGACATGAGTGTATTCATGACGAGCGCCTGCATCACCAAGTGACACAGGCTGAGTCGCTTCAGCAACCGATAAGACATCAGTTGCTGCGGTTTCTGCTTCGGCGTCCGCACAGAGACGTGCAGACGCGCTCTCAGCGGCCTTGCTCGCGCACCGCATGGACTTGTTAACCATGCGATGAATTGTTGGACTGTGGACTCGGACAAACAAGTGCAAACCCTGTCCCAAACGATTTGGGACGAGTGTCCATTTTTTCAATCAGTCACTAAAGTGACTGATGGTTAAGGGGGGGTGATGTAACGGGGTGAATCGTTACATAACAATTTATAAGAGATTGTTAATAGAATATAACTATAAGAGTTATATTCTCAGAATATTGTCATAAGGACAAATATTCTGCAGCACTTACGAGTAGTTCCTAATTGGTTGATATAGGCCATTATATCAACCAACGAAGACGCGCCACGACAGACGCACGCAATGAGTGGTGAGCAGATAGTTGATGTACACATTTGTATTCAGACATTGTTAGATGAGAATAAATAGTGGTTTATTAACAGACATTAACTATGATAAATACAGCTCTACTTTTTACTTTAACCAAGTACTCGCGTCCTCTTACCGTCTTCCTCTACACGTACCAGTGTACGTGAAGTTCCGAGGCACCTCCTCATTCTGTCATCAGAATAAGTAGCTTCTACTGTCATCAGTACAAGATTGAGTGTGCCCCATTACACCGATCAAGTAACGCATGTTTTGCAGCAGTAGCAAACAGTTAAAAGTCGCGATGTCGGCACAAGCTCAACCACGACAAAACGCACCCATATTGTGGATCAGCGTTGGCCCAGTGAAGACGACGATCTTGTATCACTTTTCCTTTTCGTAGCGTGTGCAGCCTCCGTATGACTAGCATTCAGATCACGCCACTTGTTTTTTTGTTACAGATGGTCTATTTACACAAAATCAATTATTTGCATGAGCTCTGGTATAGCCTTAGCCAAGATGTCAGCGCCGGTGAACCTGGGGGCTATTCACGACTCGACCCAGTTGTGACTGGTGGGTGACCTTTGTGGTTTACACTCGAGTAGCTCGATACAAGCGTACATCATGGCACCCTCGACAGCCGGTGATTCATGTCTGTGTTCTCGTGTCGTGATCGCGCGAAGTTGTCGGATGCATGTGGCCCAAAACCTGGTCGTGGTGCCTGTGATGTCCTTCGAAAACGAATGATACACCGCGTCATTTCGGTCATTCCACAGCTTAGTTTGACGTAATGTCGCAAGAATAAACCGTATTCGCTTCCATACCCATTCAGCTGACTCCCAATCCTCCTGAAACCTGTCGGCTAAGGTGCTCTTCCGATGTGCGGGTATGCTGCCGATTCTTCGACTAGCACATGATCCGAAAGAATGGTGCGTGACCTGACGAGATGCCCGCTCTCCCGTCTAGTGCCCAAGTAGCTTGCTCCACACCGCCACAGCGTAGGGGCAGTCCCAAAACAGGTGTACCCATTTTTCCACACAACCCATACACCCAGGTTCTTAACGGGGCACCCTTTGTCTGGGTGCCGCGGAACTTCACGTGCACCAGTACGTGCAGAGGAAGCTAAACTACTTGAACGACTCGGTCAAGTAAGGATTAAAAGAGAACTGTATTTAACATAGTCAAGCTATCAATATAACTTTAATCTTTATCTAACTTTATTAAACTACGCTGTCGCATGACGACAACCTGCTCACAAATCTTTGCGCGCGTCTTGCAGCGATTGGTGGCAATCTACGGTTGATATGTCTAATATCAACTAATATTTGAGCAGCGAATGAATGTAATCCAAAAGGGGAAAATGCTTCTTCAATATTATACATCTCGGAAAATATTGGCAGAATATTGTCACGCTAGACAATATTCCTATTGACACCGTTTGGTGTCAATTTCATGTAACGGACTACCCCGTTACATCATCCCCCCTTAACCATCAATCACTCGTTGATTGAATTAGTATTGATTGGGACAGGGTGACCACCGTTGGATCACTCTGGAAAGGGAGCACTTGTTGGTCAAATTCCATTCATTTGCTGATCTAACGCATGCTTACGAAAACCAAGCGAGTTGCTACTGCAGCAGCAAGAAAGGCAAGTGCCTCTGACACTTCAGCAGCAGGTGATTCGTCGCTTGTTGCTGAAAACAGTCCACGTGGTGAGTCTCCACATGCGACAGGTACATCCGCTGCGTCTGCAGCGGATACCGCGAACCGTTACATCGATAAGTCCGAAATAGAGCTCATCTATTCTGGCGAGTCGGATGATGTATCCGACTCGAAGGCGACACCTCACGCCTCCGGATCACCCGGAGCGGACACTTCAAGAGCCAGGTTGTCTGGCTCTGGCATGCGTGATGGCATCATGCTCGAGGTCTTCGGACCGAGCGAATGTTTCGACGAATCCTAGCCTCACGCAAGTCCATACGACGATGGGACGCGTGGTGGTGGTGGTGATGCTTCTGAGAATCACCACGAGAGAAGCAATTTGAGAGATCGAGGTCTCAATGGTGTCAGGGCTCGGGCTGACACCACTAAAGAGGCCAGGGACCGAAATGTCCTTCGCCACGCTACTCAAGTGAAGTCTCCTTTGATGCAGTCATCCAAAGAGTTAGATCGAGTGGCCGGCATGACCACCGAACGGGAACGAATGTCGTTGTTCGAATGTAGGATAATCTTTCCTTTTAATTCCAGCACGGAAACTATCCGTGCTGAGGAAGAGTTCTTCACCGATGCGTTTTTCAAACACCGGTGGTACAATGGCAACCGTGGTCGAGCCGGTAAGGCTTAGGTGCAAGGATGGTATGTCTTCATCCATAACATCAAGTGCATTGGCCGTGAGGCTTGGCTCGGTAAACTTGATGCAGCTCGTATCAGAGTTGAGAAGCTTAACCCAGTCGGTATACGGTACAAGTTGCATTGACTGTCAAGAGAGGCAGCATTAACATGTCCCTTGTGAGGTAATTCGTGTTTAGGTTGCCTGGACAACTTGAACCGTACCCCTGGGGAAGCCTTCCTCCCAGATGATCCCTACTGGTGGGCGCGTATCTCTTCCGAGATGGTCGAAGGGATTGACACTTTGCAATCCCTGTACTCGCGTTTGATAAGGTCATTTTCTGACGTCCCTTCTGCATACACACAGGGTGTGCTCTCGTCATACTGACGAGACCAAGGACATCAACAATCAGCTGAGAACAAGGACATCAACAATCAGCTGGACACGAGGCTCCCATCTGTCCCACGCCGGTGGATATCCACGCCAGCGGACGAGGTAATTCGTCCGGACGCCATTCACATCGCGGTTGTTTACGATAAGCTACACTAGGAAGCGTTGACCACCGCTTGAGTCCACCAAAGGATGTGATGGCGGTGAAAACACCTGATGCAGCTCGAGGGTCGGATCAATATGATGTTCAAAAGCTGAACCGTGTAACTGAACTGTTGCAAGATGACCTGGCTCACGAACGGACTCGGCGTTATGGGATTGAGGATCTTGTGAGGGATAATTACAATTCCCTAACGCACGATCGTTCGGACGATTGTGCCGCGTTGCGTTCGCGCAACTTGAGAACGAACGTTCGCCTCTTTCTCTTCGTGATGAGCTGGCTGCAGCTCGTCGAGACATCACTGATCTGCGTGAACAGGTCGCTTCGATAGTCGACCAGACTGGCTGGTTGAAACGAAACCACTCGAAGGTGGTCTCGGCTCTCGACCGCGCAGGTGTTTTTCGCATCTTGAAACGGGCTCGTACTGAAAGTACGGGCGGAGACAACCAATGTAAAACGAAGGATGCGTGCGCAACTTACGGGGCAGTTCAATTGTGTATGCATTGCCCATCCGGCGCAACACACGAAATGGACCGATATAATTGGGCAGTATCTACTGCTGCCCACGTTTGTCACTGCGTGTTGCGGTGAATTTACTTTAGACAGTAAAACTAAATCTTCTTCATTGAATGAAAGAACATTTGCTCTTCCATGTTTGTCTACTATTCTTTTCTGCTTGTCTAGTGCATCTTCAATAGAGCCTTGAACGAAGCGGACACATACCTTCGCGGGTCAGAAGAAATTCCTCTGCTGACTCGTCCTTGTTAACATCAGTGCCCTTTGTCCGCACTGCTGACAATACTTTGCTTTATTACATTAAGTGGTCATCTTCCATACTGTAGCAATCGTTGGTAATGCTGAATATACCAGCATCGTCTATGTCATCATCATCATCGTAGTCGATCGTATCGACATCGGCATACATCTCCTCGACACCATTGTTGGCGTGTGATGAGCAAGAACCAGATCGGGTTTTGTTCGAGCGAGTCCACCTCCCCTTAAACTAGAGTCACACTCTAAGAAAGCGGGTAAACGTGGATGGTGTAGGCCACTCACGAAGAACGGTGTATGCGTCGTCGATGCATGCACCGAGTTGATGATGGCGAATTCCGCCATCGGCAATAACTCACTCTAACTCGTGAACGCGTAAATGTTTCCTCGAAGTAACTCTTCGAGGACGCTGTTGACGCGTTCCGTTTGACCATCTGTTTCGGGATGGTCAGAAGTTGACATCGTCAAACGTGTTCCAAGTGAACGGAACACGGATTGCCTGAACTCCGCTGTGAAGCGAAAGTCTCGATCAGACAAGAGTTCACGGGGCAAACCATGAAGTCGGAAGATAGTATCGATGAAGACACGAGCACAACCCTGGGCTGTGATTGACTCCGGTACAGCAAAAAGGTGTACCATCGTGCTGAACTGATCAACAAACACAAGAATACCAGTATTTTGTGAATATCTTTGGGAAACCGGAAGACTAAGTCCAACGATACGGACTGCCAACACTCTGCCGAAATTGATAAAAGCTGCAAGGGTGTGTTGGATGAAGGACTAGGCTTCACCCGTTGACAAACTTCGCAAGCGCGAATGAACTTGCGCACAAACCCATACAGGCGGGCCAGTAGAAGTCATGACTCACCGTGAGGTAAGTCTTGTCTCTACAGCGATGTCCACTTGTTGGAGCATCTTTACACTCATACATGATGCGCAATCGCAAATCATCACAAGCCTGAACGACGACACGAGGTGTGTCGCCGTTGACTGCTGTAAAGCACAGCAGTCCATCACGGACAGAATACCGTTCAGTTGAAGAGCGGTATGGAGACGAAAATCTTTTCAAAGCTTGACTGCATAGATTAGATACGTAATTTGTCAATCGCAAAAGAGACTCATCTTCTGCTATGCTCTTCGCACGTCATCGAGCAGATTAGACGTCGGAACCCTTACTGTTAGTGTCGCGACATTGGAATCACCCCTACTGTTAAATCAAGCAGTAGGCTCGAAATCGGGCCAACGCGAAAGAGCACCAGCGACGACATTAAGTCGTCCTGGTTTACATTTGACGGAGAAGTTGTACTCCGCGAAGATTGACAGCCACCTCGCCATTTGTTGCAAGAGGTGTGGAATGTTTACGGCCGTGCGCAACGACGCATGGTCAGTCTAAACGATGAAGGGCCGATCTCCTAATAAATTTACCCGAAACTTTGTCAGTGCATATTTCATGGCAAGGAGTTCCTTGTCATGCACCGGATAATTTCGCTCAGCTGCTTGCAGCTGACACGATTAATAACAGACGACGCGGTCAACGCCTTCTGAGTCGTACTGCATTAGCGCACAGCCGATTGAAAAATCGCTGGCGCCACAGACCACAAGGAATGGTCTGTCTTGGTCCGCAATCGCCAACACAGGCGATTGTATCAATCCGTACTTGAAACCTTTAAAGGAGTGCTGACACTCAGCACTCCATAACCACCTCTTGTTTTTCTATAACCGACGAGAGAGATGTACGGTCATCTTGGCGTAGTTTCGCGAGTACTTGTGCAAGTACGCCGCCAAGCCAAGGAACTTTCGAAGTCTCTTGACGTCGACTTGCACAGACCAGTGGCTTATCGCCTTGATCTTTTCCGGATCAGGACGTACGCCGTGTGTGCCCACAATGCAGCCAAGAAGTGGTATCTCGTTTGCTGCGAACATACACTTCTTGAGGTTTGCGAACAACTTATGCTCTCGCATTAAAGTAAGAACCTTCCGGACGTGGATTTGATGTACCTCCACGTCCGTCTTTTTATACATAGCCCGGCTATGTACGAAGACATCGTCGAAGTAACTCGGTGCGAAATCGCGCACCGATCGCAACAGATTCGTAACACATCTGTTGAACGTTGCGGGGGCATTGCTTAGCCCTGTGGCATCACTGGCCACTCACAGATCATAATACTGGGGGTGCTCACTGCTGTGTACGGGATTTCCAGTTCACGCGTGAGGATCTGATAGAATCCATCCATCAGATCCATGGACGAAAAGATGATACTTTTTGTCATGCCGTTAGAGATTAGGTCCTTTCTCGGTATCGGCGTCTGATCTGGTATCGTTGCTGCGTAATATTTATTGAACGCGTGCACTATCCGCCACCCTCCTGTGGCATTTCGCACACAGAAGGTCGGAGAGCTGAAAGGTTATGTTAATTTCCCCCACATGACCAGCCGCTAAGCGATCGGCAAGGATTTCGTTGATCGCTGTGACCTGTTCACGAGGCAATTGCCACTGCTTGATGACACAGTAATTCGAACAATGTTTCACTTCGATCTCGTGCCGAGTGACTTTGTCCTTGGAAAGCTCGCACGGCACGAATTCCGGGAAAACATCCCTGAATATGACCAAATCCTTTTACAAAGAATTTGTGTTTAAAGACTCCCAAGATTGAGACGTGTATCGCCTGATCCAAGTCTTCTCATCGAGGAGACTCTCTCATAAAGATGAGCTACTGAGAATTCGTTCATCTTCAGCAAACACTTGTGCCGACCGAATATCGGCGACGTACTCGTCCTCTGTGACAAGTACGCAGATCTGCTTGATCTTGTCACTACGCAGATCTCGCAAGTTTTTTTTAGATTCTAGCGTTGGCAACTTGACTACCTCCGAAGCTGACTCCGGAGGTGTAACCAGATCAAGTGCACAAGAGCCTACACATCACCCGTCATTCACCAAGACATTTAATGTCTTGGTGAATGACGGGTGATGTGTAGGCTCTTGTGCACTGCTTCTGTAAAACACACCCTCAACGTAACTCTTTTGTGAGATCTCTCTCTCAGGAACGCTGGATCTTTCTTCCAATACGTGTTCTGACAACGTGTGCACTACCATAGTCACGTCCTCTTCGATCGACTCTTTTTAGTCGATCAGGCTTGCTCTACGATCGACTCTCCGATAGTCGATCTCGCTTCAACGTGTTGTTCATCCTGAACAACACTGACCTCTCTTCTCGGATGCACCCTTCTTGGTGTGCATCTGTGTTCCAGTCCACTCGATCTCTTCGAGTGGTGAACCTTCGGCGCAGTCTGTAATTCTACACAGGTGCCGGAAG